AGCTGGTACACACCAGGGCTTCCTGAGAAGGAGGGCACTAGTTACAGGTGACCCCAGGTTTCCAACTTGATTGGCCTGGTGAACCAAGGAGCTCTCAACTGGGCAGCAAGTACAGAATAGAGGTAACAGGGTATGGAGAAGTGTGGAATAGATTTTCTGTTTGTTTGTTTGTTGTTTTTTATTTTTTAAAGATTTATTTATTTATTTATTTATTATGTATACAGTGTTCTGCCTGCCTGCATATATGCCTACAGGCCAGAAGAGGGCACCAGATTTCATTACAGTTGGTTGTGAGCCACCATGTGGTTTCTGGGAATTGAACTCAGGACCTCTGGAAGAGTAGCCAGTGCTCTTAACCTCTGAGCCATCTCTCCAGCCCTGTGTGTAAGATTGTAAGACAGCCTTAATAAAGCCATGCAAAGTATGTTCAGCAGTTGAAAATAAGGTTGGAGAGAGTTGGGTGGCTATCACTGTAGGTAAAACCAGAAAACCAAATGAGATTACTTCAATAGCAAGTGCAAAATAAAGAGGAGTGAGCTGGGCATGAGACTGAGTATTCAAGGGACAGACCCTAAACGAGTACTGCACAAGTCGGGGAGGGACTGGTACACGCCTTTAATCCCAGCACTTGGGAGGCAGAGGCAGGCGGATCCCTGTGAGTTCGAGGCCAGCCTGAGCTACAGAGTGAGTTCCAGGACAGGTGCAAAGCTACACAGAGAAACCCTGTCTTGGGGGGGGGGGAAGAATAGTGCATAAAGGAGACAAGAGAACAGTACCAGAAAGGAAACCTCAGAAGCAAGGCATGGTAGCCCATGCCTTCAATCCCAATACTCAGAAGGCTAAGGCAGGAGGATCACAAATTCAAGGCCAGCTCAGGATATACACTGAGATCTTATCTTTGAAGAAAGAAAAAAGGAAAAAAGAAAGAGAAAGAAAAAGAAAGAAAGAAAGAGAGAAAGAAAGAAAAGGGGGATGGGGGAAGAGAAGAAAAAGAACCAACTTGAAGTGAGTTATTACAGGTACAAGAGTCCAGAAAGCAGAAGAGAACACATTACTTAGCCAGGTGGTGGTGGCAGCAGCGGGGGAGGGGGGGTGCGGCACCGCACAACTTTAATTTCAGCACTTGGGAAGCAGAGACAGGAGGATCTGTAGTGGTATTGTGTTCCCCAAAATATTGTGCACCCTAATAAACTTATCTGGGGTCAGAGAACGGAACAGCCACAATATTAAACAGAGGATCGGCAGTGGTAGCACACGCCTTTAATCCTAGCATTCCAGAGGCAGAAATCCCTCTGGATCTCTGTGAGTACAAGGCCACACTGGAAACAGCCAGGCATGATGACACACGCCTTTAATCCCAAGAAGTGAGCCTTTAATCCCAGGGAGTGATGGCAGAAAACAGAAAGATACATAAAGCGTGAAGATCAGAAATTAGCAGCATTTGGCTGGTTAAGCTTTTAGCTGGTTAAGCTTTAGGCTTTCGAGCAGCAGTTTAGCTGAGAGGCTTCCAGTCTGAGAAACAGGATCAGCTGAGGAACTGGTGAGATGAGGTGGCTGTGGCTTGTTCTGTTTCTCTGATCATTCAGTGTTCACCCCAATACCTGGTCTTGGGTTTGCTTTTATTAATAAGTACCTTTAAGATTCAGGCTACAAGGATTTGTGAGTTCGAGGCCAACCTGGTCTATATAGTGAGTTCCAGGACAGTGAGGGATACATAGTGAGCCCCGTCTTTAACAAAAAAAAAAAAAAAAAAAAAAAAAAAAAATTACTTAACCTGGCAATCCCTGATAACTTCACAGAGGTAGTCTGCACAGAGGAGCAGCAATAAAGCTGGAGTTTGGGGCAGCAAGATGGTGCCCGTCACTTGAGGCTCCAAATGTCGACTCTTCAAGGGAGTGTGTGTGAGAAAGGCTGCTTGAGACAGAGTAATAACTATCCATAAGTATGAAAGTCAGAACAAAATGAGCCAACAGAGGCGAGGTGTTTAGCACAGCACCGGGCGTACATTAAGCACCCAAAAAGCACAAATTACTACTATCATGTATTCACTAACACACTACAGTAAACTTATTCTGCACCAGGACTGCTCTGGGCCCCAGTCCTGACCCAAGCTGGTCAAGTATCGATGGCGGACAGAGACAATTAAAAAAGTTACTCAAATTATATGATGTATTTGCTAGCAGTAAATACTAAGAAGAAACCACAAGGCAGGGGATTCTTTCTAGTTCTGTTTTGTTGCTGTGATTAAATACCCTGACAAAAAGCAATTTATATGAGCTTACAAATTCCAGGTTACAGTCAGTCCATAACTGTACAGTAGTCAAGGTAGGAACTTCAAACAGCTCACATCCAGAATTAAAAGGAGAGAGACATAAACACATCATGCCCACTTGCCAGCTTGTTTATGCTCAGCTCAATTCTCCCCTCTCACATAGTTCAGGACACCCTCCCCCACCCCAAGGGAATGGTGCTGCCCACAGTGGGCTGGGTCTTCCATATCAATTAATTTTAAGACAATCCCTCATAGACATATCCACTGCAAACCCAATGAAAGCAATCAATCATTAAGACTTCCTTTAAAGGTGACTCTAGGTTGTGTTAACACCTACGTTGACAATTAAAGCTGACCATCACAAAGAAGGAAGTATCAAATGCTGAAGAAAGAAATAAAATTTTAGATAGGGAAGCCCGAGAAAGTAACTCTCAGGGAGAGACCTAAAGGAAATAAAGAAAGTAACTATAATTGGGAGGGAATAATTATTATCATTTGCATTGCTATTAGCCATTTCTAATAAAGTATAGTGAAAGTATATTGTCACATATTATTACTACTTTCTGTGCTACAATTAATGTTGTGATAATCACTGTCATCTATGGTGGTATTTTATTTGTACTAAAATGTGATTTTATTTGTAAGTTAATAAATAAAGTTGCTTGGAGGTCAGAGCTAATAGCAAGCCATAGCAGAGCTAGGTGTTCGTGGCACATGCCTTTAATCCCAGCACTTGGTAGAAGAGCTAGGTAGATCTCTGTGTGGTCAAGGATACAGCCAGCATTGGAGACATACGCCTTTAATCTCAATACCATAGAAGACCTGGAGGGCTGTACATACAGGCAGTGACGAGGCAGTCATGTGTTTGGGTTTACAACCAATGAGAAGGCAGAACAGAAAGACTATATATAAAGACAAACACACAGGAAGTAGGTCTCTTTTCGGAGAGGTAGGACCACCTCAGGAGAAAGGGTAAGGTTTTAGCTCTGAGCTTTGACCTCTTGGCTTTCTTCTTTACATTGGTTCTGTGTTTCTTATTTAATAAGATGGTTGGTTACATCTACAGTCATCTCTGGCTCTTGAGTAATTTTAGCAGTGGCCTACAGTAGTCAAGGTTTATGGAATCTAGGACTAGGAAGGGCAGAAGCAATGTGACACACAGGAATTAATTACATGTTCAGAGTAGCAAACAGGAAAGAGATACCAGGCATTACAGCTCATGTTCAAATCTCAGCACTCAGAGCTTAAAAAAAATTACAAATCTGAGGAGGCTAGCTTCAGGTACAGAGAGGCTTTTGTTGGGGAGGAAGGAGAGGGGAGAGAGCAAATGAATGAGAATGAATAGAATGCTTTGTGGGTGTGCTAAGTTGACCTTTTGCCCCCAACATACATACATAGAATATTACACACCAGGATCATCTTCAGACCCAAAATGTATTGAAACAAAGAGATCTTTGACACAAGAGAGCATGGTAATCCCACCTCAGATAAGCATAGGTGTACAGTGTATGATGGAGAGATTACAAGAGAAGATTGTGTTTCTACAGGAACATTTATTTGGTGGTCTGAACAGGGATTTATGAACTTTGTAGGAGAATAATTAAGAGGAACTATAAGTCTTTGCTATTTGTTAAGGCAAGCACAATACTGGAGTGAGGTAGGTGTGTAATAGTACCTGCTGGATTACACTAAACTAATGAGGATTAAATCTTGCTCATGACTGAACTTGTCTATTAAGACAAACAAAAAACCCTTGAAGGTTAAAATCTTTTAGCTGGGGCCAGAGAGATGGCTCAGCTCAGTGGTTAAGAGTGTTTGGGTGGGAGCTCTACCTCAACTCCCGGCACCCTGGCATCCATATACCCAAAGAGTCTGGAATGTTCTAGTGGAAAATCTACCTCAACTCCCCTCCCAATCTCTTTCCCCAAACCCGCCCCTTCAAAGCCTGCCAAACACAGCTCCTCCCCCAGAGATGCTCAAGACCACTCCCACAGGGTATATAAGCTGCATCCCAGAACACAGACAAGTGGTTCTCTGCTCTCTCATTCCTGTCTCCTCTCTGGGGGGCTGGAGAGTCACCCAGAACGCTTTACCCATTAAACCAGGGCTTTTTCTTTTTCTTTTTTTTGGTTTTTCGAGATAGGGTTTCTCTGTGTAGCTTTGTGCCTTTCCTGGAACTCACTTGGTAGCCCAGGCTGGCCTTGAACTCACAGAGACCGGCCTGGCTCTGCCTCCCGAGTGCTGGGATTAAAGGCGTGCGCCACCACTGCCTGGTTAGCTTTTTCTAATTCAGTTTGATTTGGATTGCTGTGTCAGCGGAGAGGCTTATTGGGGTGCAAAAACCTTATCAAAGAGTACTTTACTTACTGGCTGTTCTTCCAGAGGACCTGAGGTTTGATTCCCAGCACCCATGTGGAGGCTCACAACTATCTATAACTCCAGCCCCAGGGATCTGACAACCTCTTTTGGCTGCGAAAGGCATCCGGCATGCCTGTGGCACAAAGACATACATGCAGGCAAAATATCCACAAGCATTAAAACAAAACAAAAAACAAACTAGTAACCTAGTTACTGCTTAACTAGCAGTAATGAGAATACCAAAAGGTGTCCATCAATTCCCTGTAAATGTTGTTATTAGTGGGTAAAGCATGCATACCATCACAAATGGCCAAACTATGAAACCAAATGGCCACATAAAAGCTAGGAAGGAAAAGAATAAAATGGCCAATTATGTTTTACAGCTTGAGTAAACAGCAATTTACATTTTTAGTTTTATTACATTTTCATATATTTAAAGAAGGCTATGTTACATTCATTCACATTACACATTTCAAACCTAGGGGTATGCAGGACATGATGTTTAATCTCACTCCACCTGAAGGGCAGAAGAAACAAAACACGGGGCTGGTGATGTAGCTCAGTGGCACGGTACTTGCTTGGCATGAGCAAGGCTCTGATTTCAATCCCCAGTACAGTCTAAAAAAGAAAAAAAAAAAAAAAAAGAAAAGGCTGTGTTCAAGATCGTACAACATGCCAGGAATCCAGAGTCCCGGTCATCTAGCAAGTCTTCCAGCAGAGGAACATGAAGAAGGGACGGCAGAAGGAGAGGAAAACACTGGCTGAGGAGTAACTCACTCATTTGTCAGTGACTGAAAAAGCAGGATGTGAATTATCATGGACTTTATTGCCTCCTTCTTCAAACATCCTTATGATTTCACGGTGTGGTTGAAGTCCTGAAGGATATCTATACTCTTTGTGAGTTGCTGGGCCAGGGTGCCTGTTAGGTCTTCAGAATCCTTCAGTCCTGACTGCAGGAGGAACTTGGTGCAAGCCACATGTTGACCTGCACAGGCCAGATGCAGGGCTAAAGGGAGACAAAAACGGTCTATGCTGAGAACATGCACTGCATTCAGAAAAAACAATGGATTATGCAGTTATGCAGAGCTTATGCTTATTTAGTTAGAGTGTGAATAAGTGTGCGTGTGCATCTGTCACGGTGCACGTGGAGAGGGAGGTCGGGGACAATGTGCAGGAGTTGGCTCTCTTTCACTACGCGGGCCCTGGGGGATAAAACACAGATTACCAGGCTTGGCTTCAAGTGCTCTCACCCACTCAGCCACCTTGCCAGGTACTCATACTGATTTTACACTTTCATAACCTACCCATGACGGCCTACACCGGATCACAATTTAAACCTGACTGGGTTGAAAATATTTCTAAAGAAAACAAACCTGCTAGGTGTGGTGGTGGTGGTGGCACACACATTTAATCCTGGCAAATGGGAGGCAAAGGGAGGCAGATCTTTGTGAGTTCCCAGACAACCAGAGCTCATAGAGAGACCCTGTCTCCAAAAACAACAACAACAAAAAAAATCAGAAAGGATATAAGAAGCTTTTCTACTGAACAGGGAACAGGAGGACTGATTCACCCTAAGCTCACTCTCATGTGCTACTTAAATATGGTTTTAATGGCACGTAAAAATTCCTCAGTGTTTTGCTGAATTACCATGAATTAGGATGTAGTGATAAAAATCTGTTAACCAATCTTTTTACTCGACGTGTAGAAATTAGCACTAAAAGGTCGGGTATGCTGTGAATCCAAGTGTGTCCTGCTGCCTGGTCTTGAGGACCAAGTTCAGAGCCCTGATTAGACTGGCAGCAGTTATCCCTTACGACCTGCAAGTGACAATGGGTCATTTGTGACTCTTTCAAGCCTGAAGGTGCCACTGAACCCTATGAGATGACCTTTGGCTCCAAGAATACTACTTGGTTTATTCTAAAGTCAAGTTTAAAGGGTCAGCTCTGGACAGCACTGGGGATGCAGCTCAATGGTAGATCTACCTGGGCCTTGGGCTTGGTCTCCAGTACACAAAGAAAAAGACAAGCACTCTGAGACTATAGCTCTGGACCCTAAATTTATATAATAATCCTTATGGATAGATAGAAAATGCTTTCGCCTCACAGATATTGTTATAATAGGGGCTGGAGAGATGCCCCAGCAGTCAAGAACACTTGCTGCTCTTCCAGAGAACCAGAGTTCAGTTCCTAGCACCTACACCAAACAGCTTACAACCACCTGCAACTCCAGTTCTAGTAGATTGGATGCCTTCTTTTGGCCTCTAGGTACTTGCACACATTCATAGAAATACACACACACACACACACACACACACACACAAATAAATAAGTAAATCTGGAGGGGAAAACCCACACAAACCAACCAACCATAGTAACAGGGTAGTGGTTAGTATCCATCATCATAATCATGACGTCGACCAGTTGTGGTGGCATACACCTTTAATTCCAACATTCAGCAGGCAGAGGCAAGTGTGAGTTTGAGGCCAGCCAGGTCTATATATAAGGGGCTGAAGGGAGGGCTCAGCAGTTAAGAGCACTGGCTACTCTTCCAGAGGACCCGGGTCTGATTCCCAGCATCCACATCATGGCACACAACCTTCTGTAACTCCAGTTCAAGGGGATCCAACACCCTCTTCTGGCCTCCATAGGCACCAGGCAAAAGCTATTTTAGGAAGAGACTGTTTGGTTGTCATGGCTAGGGACTGAATGTAGGACATGTACACAATAGGTAAGAGCTCACCACTGAGGTGCTAAACCTACATCAATGCTTTCAACTAAAAAGTACCCAAGTCATTTGCATTCCGTACCTGAGCGATTTCTTTCATCTTTAGAGTTGATGTCGGCACCCAGGGATAACAGAGTTTGAACTGTGCTTGTCTGTCCTTCCTGAGTGTTGAAATAGATGCATTACCGCTGTGATGAGGACAAAAGCAAACCTTTAAAAACCATCTCTAGTGCTCATCAGAAACTCTTCCTGAGGCAGCCAACTGCAAATTCTGAATCTTCCTGTCTTAAGGACGAGTTATATCATCCATGATTCTCACACGAATCGTTAAATATTTGTAATATTCAGTTATCAGGATGGATAATACTATTAGGTTTCCATCAAGGTCAGCAGTACAAAGCCTTGTGGTTTATATAGAACTCAATTCCAAAATTTCCCAAGCATATGAACTTTTTGTTAAAATCTTTAAGACAGAGGGAACTGAGGCTCTCAGAAGAGACCACTACTATAGCTAGCATCATTCACACAGTAATTTATACACACGTGTCCTGCCAGTCAGCTCATTGCAAACTAGTGAGGCTAGAAAAAAACAATCAAGATTTCCGATTCAGCCTTTCTACGGAGGAAATGTTCATGGACTGAGTCCTCAGTCCATTCATGTACCTATCCCTTGTATTCAGGGGAAGTGCAGTGGGGATTTTTGGTCAGAAAACATGTACTCTTGCTTCTAGGAAACCAAATAAAGGCACGTGGCTTCTAAACAATGTATAATAAGCAAGGCTCCTAAAATAGCCTTTTCTTTAGTGAAATATTAATGCACATCCTAAATGTTTTGTACATTGGAGAGACCAGTAGATGCAATTTCTTTGTGCTAGTTAAAGAGATTTTAAATTCTCAATTCAATATAAAAAAGAGCTACAAATTTCACAGAATGAATCTTTGCTCATTTGTTCATTTTTAGCAAGTTATTTTATTTGTGGTGTGGTGTGGTGTGGTGTGTGTGTGTGTGTGTGGTGTGGTGTGTGTGAACACATGTACGAAGGTGCCTGTTAAGGCCAGAAGAGGATGTCCGATCCCCTGGAGCTGGAGTTCCAGGCAGTTGTGAGCTGCCTGATGCGGGTGCTGGCACTCTGCGAGTGCAGCAAGCACGTGTAACACCGAGCTCTCTCTCCAGCCCCGTTTATTTATTTTTAATAGAAAATATTTAACTTCGCTACACCAAAGTGGAGTTCCACAGTTTGCTTTCAAACACTTAAGAGACAACTGAAAAGGCCTTCACTACCCTCCAACATCGTCACGGTTTTCAATAACATTCCTGAAAATAAGAGTACAGAAAGCCCAAGTAGTACACAGAATTAAGAGTTCTCCTCTCTCCATTTTTGCCTAGACACCAAAAATGTCATGTTTCCATTTAAAGAGATTGAAAGATTCAGAATCACAAACATCTCGGGAACAGAGGGTACAGAGGGAGCCAAAGACGCCAAGACTACAAGAGCTGTCCATCCCCAGAGCAGCAAGCCTCAGGAAGAAATGCTGTCATGACAAGCAACTGACCTTGGCTGCATAAAGAAGTGCTGTTAGCCGGGTTGACTTTGCTCTCACATCTACATCAATGCCAAGACTGGACACCAGGAACTGTATGGCTTCATCCTGCCCAGTGACTGCTGCCCGGTGTAGAGCCTGGGCCCCCAGACGATCTTCAGCTGAAGGGCAAGCCTAGTAGGCAGGAAAGGGGAGCAGCGTAAAAAGCAGAGGAATCTGGTCCATAGTCCTGCAGATGTTCTGGTGTGGTTCTTTCGGGCAGAGCACTTGATTTCTTCCCGATTTTCAAAGCATTTGAACTAAAATGTGGTCAAGTCAATGCTCTGGCTATAGTGCCTTAAGCTCTGTCAGGACAACTTGTTGCTACTACTATCAAAGTGACAATGTTCAGTGAGTCCTTAATTTTCTAACTGCTCTATGTATGTTGGATTATTGGATCCTCCCTGGATCAAGTCCAAGGTTCTGAACATTCTACTTTACTTTGAGTTCCAACCTAGCATCATTAAATCTTTGTAAGGAAACATTCCAAAGAAATTACATTTTGTCACAATTTTAGAGATGGGAATGCGAATGCATGTATGTTTACAGAGGTCAAAGGTGGAGAAACTCAGGAGCCAGGATTTGAAACCAGCAAATGAATAATGATGTATCATTATTCCCAGATCTAAAATTTCTAAGGAAGAACTAAAGGAAAAAGCAAAACCACTTTATTTATACCTTGTGTTTTTCAAGGAGCAGCTTGGCTATGTTAACATGGCCACACTGAATTGCATCCATGAAGGGTGTGACACCACAGTTATCTCTACAGTCTGGTTCATAGAGACACCTAGAGTCAAATCCAAAAACGACAGAACTGTGAATATTCACCATTGCAAACCCAAGACAGATGACTTGATGACCTGTAGGCAGACTGTATACCTTAGAGGTGACCTGTGACAGTCTGGAGCTGTCTTTCTTTTATCGCCTTAGCATCTGAACCGAGTTCCATGTCTTCAGGACCTTCCTCTTTTAACTTTCTCATCACATCAGCTGGAGCTTTCATTTCTTCAGTTTCTTAGCTTGGAAGCTTTGTAGTCACCCTTACTATCTTTTTCTTCTCTTTCCCAAACAATTACCTAAATATAATTCTGTAGCCAGGCTACTTAAAACATCTACACTCTCCTCTCCATCTCCACTTTCACCCCTATGCACACGCAGGGTGACTAACAGCCTCAGAATGCTCTTCTAATCATGACCCTTGCCTCCCCTTCCCCTGCCCCAATTCTCCAGAGCAACCACAGTCATCTTGCTTCTCCTGCCTCAGTCTCTGGAAGGCTGGAATTACAGATGTGTGCCACAGCATGTAGCTTTTTAATTCTAGGGTTCCATGGAATTATTTACAAACACTGTCTTCATTACCCTATGAAGGCCACTAGCAAAGAGCTATGTTTATTTCATTACCCAGACCTAACACACAAAGGCTACTGAAAAGTATTTCTTCAATGAAGAGTATTTACAAATTTGCAGAAAAGCAAATATGTCCCACCTGTGGTTCTAAGTGCTTGACAAATGTTTTCAGGATCCAGGATTCAATGCTCTTTGCTTTGGCCCATTATCTTTTCCACTTCTAACTTATCATCATCATTCATATGGTGCAAAGTGTCACACTGGTTTCTGGTCCACCTTGTCTCGGCTTTCTTGAACTCTGCTTTGATCTTTCACACATATACAACTACCCGATTTGTTCCAAGGTGAAATTCTTTTTTTTTTTTTTTAATTTAAAGATTTATTTATTTCATATGTATACAATGTTCTGTCTGCATGTATGCCTGCAGGCCAGAAGAGGGCACCAGATCTCATTACAGATAGTTGTGAGGCACCATGTGGTTGTTGGGAATTGAACTCAGGACCCCTGGAAGAGTAGTCAGTGTTCTTAACCTCTGAGCCATCTCTCCAGCCCCAATAATTTTGATTGTTAACTTTTTTTTTTTCGATGCAGGGTTTCATTTGTAGCTTTGCACCTTTCCTGGATCTCAAGCTATAGACCAGGCTGGCCTTGAACTCACAGAGATCAGCCTGCCTCTGCCTCCCAAAGTGCTGGGATTAAAGGCGTGCACCACCACTGCCCGGCTCCAAGGTGAAATTCTTATGCCTCCCCTAACCCTGCTCCTCTTTCAGGGTTCAATGTCTCAGCGAGTGGCACAGGTGCCACACTGTGAAAGGCATCCTTGATGTTCCCTTGCTCCTCCTTTATTTTAAGGCCTTGAATATGCTAGGCAAGCATTCTACCACTGAGCTGCATTCCCAGGCCCTCTCAGACCCTTTTCATCAAATTATGCACCTATTCCTATTGATTCCACTTTTTAAAGATACCCTTCAATCCGCCTCTTCCTTCTTGCCTTAGTCACTGTTCTATTGCCATAAAGACAACTCTTTATGAAAGAAATCATTCAGTTGAGGGCCTGCTTACAGTTTCAGATGTTTAGTCTACCATCATCATGGTAGGAGCATGGTGGCATGCCCAGGCAGGCACTGGAACAGTAGCTGAGAGTTACATCCTGATCCCTAGGCAGAGAGCCTAGGCCTGGCATCGGCTTTTGAATCCTCAAAGCCCACCCTCAGGGACACACTCTCTCCAACAAGGCCACACCCCCTCAACAAGGCCACACCCCCTAATACTTCTAATCTTCACTCCCTGGTGACTAATACTTAAATATAAGGGGGCATTCTTATTCAAACCACCACACTTTCTAGACTCATCTCTTCAGCCCAACTGCCATCACTTCTCTCCTGTTTCACTTCATCAACCTAAGGGACAATTTCACAGAAACCTCTTCCCATCCCAGGTTCATTTATATTTTGCATCTAGGTGGTGCTTGAAAACTGCTGACTTCTTATGACCCCTGGCTTCAAAACCCTTCACCAAGGGGCCTGGAGAAAAAGTTCAGCAGTGATGAGTATTTGTTGCTCTTCCAGAGGACCTGGGTTTGATTCCCTCTGACACCCTCTTCTGGCTGCCACAGGCACCAGGCATGCATATGGTGTACAGACAGGCACGCATGCAAAACATTCAGACACATAAAATGAACACAATGGTCTGCAGCATCCATATTCTATACTGTTGAGACTTCAGCATATCCCAAACTACTACCAGTCTCTCAAATGTGCTATCCTTTCTTCTGGTGCAAAAAACCCCCTTGGCCCTCATGACAGCTGTTATTTTCCCTTCAGGTGAACAGCTTTGGCTGTGCTGGTGCCGAAACATTATTTATTTCTTCAGTCTTTACTAATTTAAACTGGGTCTTCCTATCACACACTCCTATGGGGACCCTGAATTCCTTACAATGCTCATTGGTACACGACCCTGTTCCATTGTGGACACAGAGCTCTCTACATAAAAGGAAAAGTAACTCCTTGTTATAACTAAGAAATATTTCCACCAATTTACCATGCTATTCTTACCTATCAAGAAGTTCTTGTACTGCTTCGAAACAGCCATGCATCGCTTCGGGGGAAAAGAATGGAGACAATTAGAACTTTTTAGTGTATACTTGAAACTTTCTTGGCTGGTGTGGTGGTTTGAAAGAAAATGGCCCCCAAAGGGAGTGGCACTATTAGGAGGTGTGACCTTGTTGGAGAAAGTGTGTCAGTCACTGTGGGGGTGGGTTTTGAGTTCCTCTATGCTCAAGCAACTCCCAGTGTCACAGACCATTTCCTGTTCTGTGGAATGTTCCATTCCATTCTGATCAAAATGTAGCCAGCACCATGTCTGCCTGCAAACCGACATGTCTTGCCATGAGGATAATGGACTTAACTTCTGAAACTATAAGCCACTACCTCAATTAAATGTTTTTCCTTTATAAGAATTGCCGTGATAATGGCGTGTCTTCACAGCAATAGAAACTCTAACTAAGACAGCTGGGGAGGTAACTCATTGGCCAAACCCTGGCCTAGGATGCGCAAACCCTCGGTTTTATTCCAGTACAATGAATAAATAATTAAGAACAAGCCTGTTGGTGGTGGTGCATGCCTTTGATCCCAGCACTTGGGAGTCAGGGGCAGGCAGATCTCTTCGAGTTTGAGGCCAGCCTGGTCTACAGAATGAGTTTCAAGACAAGATAGCCAGAGCTGTTACACAGAGAAACCCTGCCTCAAAAAACCTAAATAAATAAATAAACAAACAAGCAAAATTCTTTCTCCTGGCTTTAAAAAATTTTGCCTTATATTTATTTATTCAATTTTCTGTGTATAACTGTTTTGCTTGCATGTTTGTATGTGTACCACACATATGGATTATGCCCATAGATGTCAAAAGAGGGTGATGGATCCCTTGAAAATTAGAATCTAGAGTTAGAGATTGTTGTGAGCCACCACATGGGTGCTGGGAACTGAACCCAGGTCCTTTGGAAGAACAATAAGTGTTCTTAACTGTTGAGCCATCTCTTCAGTCACATCTGCCCTGGTCTTCTCACAGAAGGAAAACCTAAAATACATAATGTTACTGTCCTATCAATAAAAAAAAAAATCCAACCAAATAAATGAAAAAGAATGATGTTTTGAGCACTTTCACGGCAAACTTCCAATTTTAAACTCATCTCCCCACTTTAGTGTTGGAAGTTTCAAAGGCTGGTGTAGTCTCTTGCCAGAAAACTGCAAAAACACTTTGAAGGAAACTATTTAATAGTAATTTATGAAAATTATCCAGAAATTTACTCCTTCTACTGAAGATACCTACTCTCAACAGGAAAGGTTCTGACTATCTGGCTTCTATTTATTTTGGGTGAGTGACAGATTAGTGACTGTTTCTCCAAGAGAATATTTTGGGGAGTATGTATGATGGGAGCTAGCCAAGCATTTATGAACTAGGTGGACTTTTCCTACTTACTCAAAAAGTTTCAGAAAGGATCCCTTGGTCCATAAGTGCTGGCTGTGACTGGAGAACAAGCAGGTGCTTATTCCCAGACAGTACGGACTGTATATTTCAGATATTGATCTTTAGAGATAGTACCACCTCAGTATCCTAATTCAATGAACTGCCTCTTAGACTAAGAATTATCTTCCATATTTCTCTCTCTGGGGGGAAGAATATTCGGGGGTTTGAGACAGGGTCTCCCAACATTGCCCAGCTGGCCTTAAACTTGCATGGATCCTGTTGCCTCAACCTCCTGAGGGCTAGAACTACAGGCATGCATCACACTGCCTGGCTTATTTTCCAACTTTGTTTTAGACTTTTGAGTCCATTATCTACACATTCCACACTAATTTTGCTTTTTGCCAAGACTATAGCATGGTATCATCACTATTGTGAAAAGCTAAGAAGGACATTTGCTCAAACACAAACCAAGTTCTTTACCCAGGGTCACAGACTTTGGCAGGGACAGAGCTAGCTTACCATCTAACTGACCAGGAAGGGTAATTACAACAGATACACTCAAAAGGTAGACTAACACAGTGACACAGAGCCGAGGCCTCCATCACTTTATAAACTTATAGTCTGCCAAGAAATCCCAAGATGCTCTGATGCTTGCCCTCTGGTTTCCCAAATCCTCCATTCCTCTGGCTGATGACTTGAACTACAAAATGTAGGCAGCACTGGGGTGAAACCAACTACACACAGAGGCGACTGCAGGGTATACCTGCAGTATGTAAAGGAGTTCTTCTAATTTTGCTCTCTGTTTTCCAAGCATCTGGGCAGACAGTGAGCAAGTACCGGAGGATCACTGGGTCGCCTTCTCGACTGGCAATGTGGAAACTGTTCCAGCCATCCTTGTTCTTCAGGAGCGGATTGGCGCCATGTTCCACAAGGACCTGGATCACTTCAAGGTTCTTCCTTGTACAAGCCATCATCAGAGGAGTCCTAAGGTCAACCAGGATGGAAAGGAGCTGAGGCATTTGGAAGAATCCAGGCCTTCAGGGAATGTATGTTTTTGGTACAGACGGAAAACCTAAAGGAGTCTGGGGGTTGGGGTGGGGGGCAGGAAAACGGCTTAGACTGTCAGCCTCTGACTTCTCTGAGGTCTGTGGAGAAATAACAAGGAGACACTGATTCTGAATGCACATCCACAGGAGTAGGTTATCTGAGAGGCAAAATCTGTTTATGAGCCAAGCAGAGGACTGATATAAACCACAGATAACTCTCAAGATATAGTGGAACTACTTTACAATAGTGAAGGAGATGTACTTTTAATTATACGGTGCTTTCCTGTCCTTGAGGAGCTGAGATCAAACTCAGGGGCTCATGCACGCTAGGAGGCTGCACCACCTCTGATATATTTCCCAGCCCTTATGTTTTGACAGATTTGAAATAACTTGGAAGGCAGGAACTTCATTAAGTTAGGCGCCTAAAAAAGTTAACAGGCTCCCAGACATAGTACAAAAAAAGATGCCAATCTGGCAGCAAATGAAACTGATTTGTGCGGTGGAAGAGGATCACCAACATTCTTGCTGGCGGCCGTGCAACGCTCGATGTGACAAAACTGCATAGAGCTCAACATGCAATGCATGTGCCACTGAAACCTATCCACTGCAGCCTTGTCAATTAAAATAATGCAACCATGAACAAGTACTTTAGCAAGATGTCTCCAGAAGAACACATCCTGGGCACATGAGTAACACAATTCATCCGTTAACCATTTGATTACATTTCTATACTCTCTCAATAGGAAGTGATTGTCCTAACTAAAGAGCCAAACCCAGGAAGAAAGGAAGGTTGGGGTGAGAATTAGAAACCGAGGAAAGTGCCGGGCGGTGGTGGCGCAGGCCTTTAATCCCAGCACTTGGGAGGCAGAGCCAGGTGGATCTCTGTGAGTTCGAGGCCAGCCTGGTCTACAAAGTGAGTTCCAGGAAAGGCGCAAAGCTACACAGAGAAACCCTGTCTCGAAAAACCAAACAAAAAGAAAAAAGAAAAAAAAAAAAAAAAAAAAAAAGAAACCGAGGAAAGTTATACGTCTAACAGACACACTGAAAAATAAACGAAAATTAGTGATTCCTCGGAGAGTGGCGATGTAGCTTTTCTGGACTCCGGGTACCTACCAGTCGGCCTTCTTCAAGGAGTCCACGGCTGCACCTCGGTCCAAGAGGTAGTCCACGCAGTCCCGGTGGCCCATAGAGGCAGCTTCGTGCAGAGGACGCTTGTAGTCTCGGTTGGCAGCCTCGATATCCATACTCCAAGCCTCCACTAGATAAGCTAGGATGTCCAGGCGCCCGTGGCGGGCCGCACAGTGGAGAAGGGTGTCCCCGGCTGGCCCCTGGCAACCTCCGGCCACCTCCAGCTCCTCTTTCAGAGCGCGCAGCCGGCCCTCCTGCACCAGCCTGCAGAGGCGCCGGGGATCCCCAGGCGGAGCCATCACCCGGGACTAGGCGTGACAAAAGTAGGAGGAAGACCGAGCTCCAGTCCTCCTAAACACAGACTAGTGTAAACATAGGTTGGGCGAAGGTGAGAGATGGTTAGGGCTTCCGCTTCCTCCACGTGACCGTTCTCCTGGACGCCCCGCCCCCCAGCGGGATTCTGTTTGCTAGCGACTTTTTTATGCCTCCAGCCCTGGTTTCAAAGTCATAATTCCCAATGTGAAATGGTGTCTCCTCAGGCGACCGGACCAACAACAAAGCATGCGCATAGGTCATTCTAGTAATCGTACTCCAAACATGCGAAGTCGTCAGGGTGGGAGCCCTTGCAGTTTAGGGTCAAGGTAAGCACCTGACATCCTGAACTGTCCTCTGCACCCGAGTCATCTGCCGACGAAAGACCTAACAGAATGCATTGCGCCGCTGTACCGCAAAGCCCTGAAGTGGAATAGAGGGGCTCAGCAGCCTGACCTCGCACCGTACGGCTCTCCACCGTACAACCTATGGAGGTGCCTGCCGGGCTGCAGAGCCGGGGTCTTGGGCTGCTCCGGTGGTAGCTGCAAGAGGCAGCGAGGCCGGCTCTCCGCAGCCGAGCGCACGCTGCCTACCACCCTGGAGCCTACCAGGCTCACGTGTGCTGTGGGGATGTCTGCCGGGCTGCACAGCAGCATCCTTGGGCTGCCCAGGCTCCCAACAGCAGGGTTTCTGGGGCCTCTCGGAGGTGGGACAGTGTCCCCCGTGCTCCGCCCGCTCCTCACCCAATCCGCAGCCGACCCCAGCCCCCTCCCCGCCGGCTGCAGCCGCCTCAGCCCCCACGGGAACCCAGAGAGCTCGAAGGAACTCTGGGAAAGTTTCCTTCGCCTCCCCCGCGCCAGCGGAAGCACCGACGGGGCGTGGCCCAGTTCCTTGAGCCACGCCCTCTCCCGCCTCGCGTACGGATTGGCTCTAGGAGCCGTCTGTCCGCGTGCCCCTCCAGTTCCGAGTTTTGACTGGTTCAGGGGTCCGTCCGTCGTCTCCGGCGGAGGGTGCATCTTGGCAGCGAAGGGGCGGAGCTCGCGGAGGAAGTCTGCAGTCGTCTCTGCTCGCAGTCGGGGCCGAAGGAGGGGCTTGCTGGTCGGGGAAAGGCTGGACGTCCAGGGGCACCGGCCGGATGGTGTCGGCGGCGGGGTCCTGGGCCGGGCCACCATAGTGCGTGAGACCGTGGACTTGGCGTGGGGTGCGAGCCGGGCAAACTTCACCTTGTGGGGCCCAGCGCAGGGGTCTCGGCCTCGGGGGTGGGGCCCGAGCTGAGGGTGGATGGAGGAGCTGGCCGCGCCCGCAATGGTCAGGTGTGGGCCTGCTGCTGGAGGCCGGGAGCTCTCTGCAGACCGGTGCCCCCACGTCGCTCCCGGAGGCTCCAGAAGGGGCAGCACTCGAGAAGTAGCCTCTGCTGCTGGCAAGCCTGACTTGTCTATACTGTAATGTTTTTGACCTTGGGCGAGTCATTGTATTCTGCTCCCGACGTTTGTGTTTGCCTTGGTAGCCTTCCAACCCCTCACCTGAACAGGTGATGATTCAGGGAACATAAGGCCTGGGGGCTTTTAGAGGGGCTCATTGAGATCCCAGCAAGCTTTGTTGGACTCTTTTCAAGGAACTGGACATTTAACCGGATGATGTTTTTGTTTGTTTGGGGAGTAAAATGGAAGCCGCTACTGTCATGCTTAAAAATAATGTCTCTGCGTTTGGCACTGGACTCTTGGTTCACAAAGTGCCTGCCATTGTTTATTCCATAATAGGCCCATCGGCAGCATTCTGGTTTTAGAGGCGAGGACATTGAAGCCTAATGAAGTTAGTGATTTATACCACGTATTGGAAAGTTGAGGCATCTGGTAGTTTCAAACTTTTTGCCACTTTGCATGATACATGGTTTTAGTTCTCAACATTTGGGAGACTTAAGTAGGAGGACCTTGAGTTTGAGGCTAGCCTGGTCTACCTGCTCCTTCCTTACACGTGATGGGGTTTTGCCTTATATCTCTAGTTTCCCATTCTTTAAACAAAACTGAGACCCGTGGTTCACAAAAGGATGAAATATTTGAAATCCAGGGTAATTGGCTAGTGTTCCAAATACGATTCTGCCTCTCCTCTGCTTTATGAATTCACTTTGTTGTGTGTTTTCCTTTGGGGAAGTAGTTATTGCTTTGTGGATCTGCCCCACTGCCCTTGTGACCCCCTGGAGAGGAGTGGGTATTTGTACTTTAAGTTTATGAAGAGGGCTGTTGCTGCTCTCTCAGTCTGGTCGAGCTGCCCATTTCTTTAGTTTGTGGCCTGACCTTTGCTGTCTCAATTCCCATGTAGCTGTCATTGGAATTGGAATTTTCTACCTGACTTTTGCTGTATTTCATGGGTCTGTGGCACTTGTGTGTTGTAACTGAAGAACCCATTCTTTAACATGTCTCCTGACTTGTGAATACATAAAACTATTTGAATTCTAATTTCAAATGTGTTACTGTCTTTTTTCTTCTTTTATTTCTCTATCCCTTCCAGGCGGACTTTAGAGACAAATGTAGATTCTGCCTTTGCTGTTCTGGCTGTGAAATAACTTCTGGAAATTTATCACCAAAGCCAACTCTTATATTGTCAATGGTCAGTCACATGCTTTTTGAAGACTGCTCTTACATTTCATAGACCTTTTCTGGAGCTTAACTGGGTATTCCCTTTAAAAACAAAATAATTGCTGGGCAGTGGTGGCGCATGCCTTTAATCCCAGCACTTGGGAGGCAGAGCCAGGCAAATCTTTGTGAGTTCAAGGCTAGCTTGGTCTACAGAGTGAGTTCTAGGACAGACTCCAAAGCTACACAGAGAAACCCTGTCTCTAAAAACAAAACAAAAACAAAATAATCTGGACTTGGTGGCACACACTTGTCATCCCAGCACTTAGCTGGACTCTGTTCTAAGACCCTACTTCAGCAAAGCAAAGCGACCCAACCAACACCCAAAACAAAACACAAAAAGAAACCCTGAAAAATTATTTTTTATTTTTATTTATTATTATTATTTTTTTTTGCTGTTGTTGTTTGAGACAGGGTTTCTCTGTGTAATAGCTCTGGCTGTCCTGGAACTTGCTCTGTACAGATCAGGCTGGCCTCGAACCCAAAGAGATCCTCCTGCCTCTACCTCCGCCTCCAGAGTGCTGGGATTAAAGGCGTGTGCCACCAAGCCCGGTGAGAAATTATTTTTAGAACTGAAACTTTAGGCCTTTCTCTGCTTCTGGGAAAAACGATTACAACAGCTATTTCTCCTTTGCTTTTTAACATAGCTGATGATGCCATTTCCCTTACTGTTTGTTCCACAAGAAACGCCAGTTATCCTGTCAGTTATCCTTGATTGATCTCTCAGTCTTCACACCGTGTTGTTACTCAACTGTCCTCTCTACCCAGCTTCTGCTCTCAGGCCCTCTCCAGTTCCTGCCTAGCTTGGTACCATGCCTCTCTGATCTGTTTTGCTGACAGTCTCCATGTCTATCTAAACTTGATTGTGTAATGACCTTGCATTTAAAAACTGCATGATACTCTGAATTGCCTATGTGGTAAAGGCCACTTTCTTTAGCAGTATATAAGAGGACTTTTGTAGTTTCTGCCTCCAAGTTCCTTTTCCAGTCTTGTTATCTCTCATTCCCTATCAGCTGGCTGTTCTGAAGAAATGAAACTTTTCTGTCACAATGTGCTTTGCTGTGCCTTTTCTCCTCTTATATTGTTTTCTTATGCCTGACTGAATCCCGTTCATCATTTATGACTGAATTCTTCATGATGCTTCTTCCGTTGATCCTAATTCTATTTACTACCATAGGCCCTTATGCGTGCATTTATGTAGTACTTGGATTGCTGTATGTTTAGCAATTTGTGTTTGTTTTGTTAGCTGCCTTATGGTCAGGCTTACTTATTTTTGTATGCTCTCCAATGTCTAAAATAGCATTAGCAACAAGGATACCATAAGGAACGCTCTCATGAAGTTCATATTAAATCTGGGATGTGGTAGCTATAGGAAGAGGTTGAGGAATGAATGAATAATAGGAAAAGGTTTTCAAATATATCAAGATATATTGTGGACAGTAAATAGCGACCTTTCTGTTTGTTTTCTGTCAGTCCTTCTGAGGGACATAGAACAGTCCAGCCCATCCTTTCTTGCTGTAAGCTGGGAAGATGGCTCAGTTGGTAAAGTGCCTGCCAGTCAAGCACGAGGACCCGTTTTGGATCCTTAGCACCACATACAAAGCTGTGCAGGACACTGCATGCCTTGTCATCTCAGCCCTGGGGCGACAAGACAGGTACCACGGGCTTGCTAGCCAGCCAGTCTAGCTAAATCAGGTGAGCTCTGGTTCCCAGTTAGAGGCCTGTCTCTTAAAAACAGGACAGATTCTGAGGAATGACACCTGAGGTTGACTTGGCCTCCTGATACAGTATACCAGCATCATTTCCCCTCACACTCCCCACAATAAAAGATTGGGCCAGCTGACGTGGACCTTTGGGTTTAGAGAAGCAGGATGTGGTGGCCGGTAGGTCCTGGCTTTAACCAAACACTGAATGCCATTGAGGGAAACGAGAACTGAGTATGATCTCTTCCTGGGTTTGGTGGTTTGTTTTTGTTTCTGGTTTTTTTTTTTTTTTTTTTTTTTTTTTTCCCTTCTGCTTTGTTTTTGTTTGGTTGTTTTAGAGTTAAATGGGGACAAAATATTTGGAAGGTTTTTCATTTTGAGTCTGTACTATTGACTGTATAGTGACATTTCTCTTATAGTTAATGTTTTCAGCATATTTGTTATCAACTCTCTTTTGTTGTGACATATAACAGTGTTATTATTGTTGTTTTTTAATGGTATAAGATTTCATCTTGAGGTTATTTGTTTCATTTTTAGTAAAGTCTTACTGTGTAGTCCAGGCTGGCCTCCAATTCTTGAGTGCTGGGATTAGTTATGTATCTTTATGTTTCACTAACTTGACATTTTCCAACCTCCTGTAAACTTTTCTGGGCTTTGAACGGAAGAATGTTAGAGTGGGGAACACATCAGACCAAGGAGTCAGAAAACCCAAGTTCTTGTGCTGGTGTTATTAGTTTAAAAAAAAAAATTGAGGGGTTGGGGATTTAGCAAGGCCCTGGGTTCGGTCCTCAGCTCTGAAAAAAAAATTGAAGTGTGTGTGTGTGTGTGTGTGTGTGT